ATCAAATGAGTCTCTACATATAAAGTGTGAGGATGTATTCTGGTTAAATAAATATTAACTCTGATGATAGTGTTTGCCTTAGGTAGGATTTCTATTTCTGTGATAAAATGCCATGACAAAAAACAACTTGGGAAGGAAAGGGTTTATTTCATCTTACATGTTCTGATTACAGTGCATTTTGAAGGGAGGGCAGGACAGGAGCTCAAGGCAGGAGCCTGGACACAGGAGGAGCTGATGCAGAGGCCATGGAGGAACACAATTTATTGGCTTTCTCTCCATGGCTTACTCAATCTGATTTTTTCTTCTTTCTTTTCTTATTCTAAAAGTATATTTAGTTTTTGTTGATTGTTGTTTCTTTCTCTCTCTTTCTCTCTCTCTCATCTTTTTTTTTAAGACAGAGTTTCTCTGTGTAACAGCCCTGGCTGTCCTTGAACTCTTTGTGGACAGGCTGGCCTTGAACTCACAGAGATTCACCTGCTTCTGCCTCCCAAGTGCTAGGATTAAAGGTATGTGCCACCATGCCTGGCTCAATTTGACTTTTTTATAGCACCCAGAATGACTAGCCCAGGGTGGCACCACTTACAATGGACTGGACCCTCCCACATCAATCATTAATTAAGAAAATGGTAGAGTCTTGCCTATAGGCCAATTTTATGGAGGCATTTTTCTCAACTGAGAGTCCTTCTCCCCAAATGACTCTAGCTTGTGTCAAGTTGCCATAAAACTAGCCAGGACAATATTATTATTCAAGAAATTATGACTTGATGATTATGTTTGGGAGCATTGTAGGAGAACTTGAATGTCTGATGGGGTAGCAAGGAACCCCTAAAATTCCTTAAAGTCCTGAGGTTGCATTATTCAATACAGAGAGCATATCCAGTGTTCCCATGTTAAAGTTCACACTTCAAAATGCTTCTGGAAAGATCACTTTCTTTTACACAAGAACTATTAATATACTTTCTAAGAAGTTTGGAGTTCTCTAGTACAGGTGAGTAAGTAAATAACTGATTTTTGGGGTTCACCTAAACAAACTAGAAAGGAATGATGCACAGAGACAAGTCTTGTGAGCTCAAACAGGCAGCACAGTGCTTCAAATCCAGTCTAAGATTATCCCAGCCTAGAAAACAATTCTCACGAGACTGATCTATGTAGGAAACGTCGCAGGATCAATTCTGAAGTGGGCATCCTCACCGATGCCAGGTTTCTATTTCCATCCAGCTGTGTGTGTACACACTGTTCTTCAACTTTGTCCCTTCTTACATGTACAGTAACCTCTTCAAATCCTAACAGTCTTGCTCAATACGCCACGTTAATACTTTGTTTACCAAAAGATTCCAATCATGTAGAGACATGTTGGTTAGTCTTGAGAACAAGCCAGTGAGAAAGAAAGACTGGAGAACTGTTTTTAAGTTTCATTTTATTTGCTTTTGTGTTACCAAATCTGAAGGTTTAGTGAATTTCCAATCCGAAAGACCACTCTAATGTGCAAAATGGGACTGCTTCCCCTGGAGAATGTAGTTTGTGTATGGACTAATCCTTTTTAGTCAAGCACATGCCACCCATGAATTAATTACTGAGATCCAATGAAAGTTTACAAAAGTTAGATCAACATTGGGGGTTTCTAAAAAAAATTTTTTTCCTTAGTAACTAGTGGCAAGGGGGCGTGGCTTTAAAGCAAAGCTTGTTTTTTTCAGCGTTGCCTGTGGGTAATAAGCATCAAGGAGCTCCAAAAGACATCTAATTGATTGGATCAAGTTTGTTTCTGCCCTTGGCTTATAGAAAGTGCAGTTGGCTGCTCTTTGGTAGACAGATTTACTTTCCGAAGCCAGAAAAAGCAGACATACCAACTAGTAGCCAAGCTCTCATACCCAAAGCCCATTTGAATGGTGTTACCATGGGTGCATTGGGGTGAAGACCCGGCTGATTGAGGGTATCATGTATGATAAATCCCTAAAAAATGAGCTGGGGCAGGGATGGTGTCTTCTCATGAAGTCTGCCTTGTTGCCTCGCTTAGACAAGCAATACATGTGTGAAGAACGAGTACAAAGTCTGGAAGTCGGCTTCAGGCTTGGCAGTGAGTTTCTCTGGCCCGCCATCTCTCATGTTGGGTGGCTGTGTCAGTAGTGGTCATGGGGAACTCTTCTCATCAACCCAGGAGCCTCCAGGATTTCCTTAGGTCTTCAGCTCACAAGCAAGCGAGCATCAAAGAAATAGCAAGTTCCTTTTGAGGCAGCTTTTCTGGGCTGTTGCCTAGAATTTCAAAGGTTAGCCTTGTGCTAGACACAGCACATCCCTGTGACACAGGCAGTCAGTGAAGCCATTGTTTGAGAATGGGCCTGAATTCAAATCATTAATCACAAGTTCTAATCTGATCATGATCGTGAGGTTGAAAGAGGAACGGAGTCAAGCTGAACGGAGCCTGGAAGAGAGGACGCCTGGCCATGCCAGCAGTTCCCCAAGGGTTCGTAATAGTTTTAAAGATTTTTTTTAAAAGTTACATAATTATCAGTTTAATTCATAATCACCAACTAGAATTGTAAATTAATTTATATAATTATAAAGATTTTATAACAAGTCAGTGTTTTATAGCTGGGATGTCTGTGTCTCTCTGTTGGTAGGAAATGCAGTGTGCTCCCTGAGTCAGAAGTTCGTCTGGCTTGTTATTCTCCTGATAGCTGTGGCTTCCGTCATGCCGGTGGTGACATTCAGATTCCTGAAGATGTGTTTTTACCCAAGCCTAAGTGATCAGGTATGTTACTATACTCTGAGTACTTGAAAGCTGGTTGGTGGCTCTCGTGAATTTTGTCCTTCTCTGTCTGAACAGAGGCACAGGGACAATTGAAATTCCCATAGGTCTACAGCACCATGACACAGTAGATAGTGCTCTCTCCACACGCTAGTGTACTAGTCCTGAATGTCAGTGAAGAGAAGTGTATTAGGCTAACTCTGGGTATGGAGTGATGAACTCTAAGTATTTTCACCCCTGACTCTGGGAAAAGAAGTTCACTGAGATAATTTTGGAGTATTTCTTTAAGAGAAGGGCAAGCTATAGGGAAAGCTAAGGGTACCATGCAAGGAATCCAAACAAGTCATGTCAAGGGGTCTCATCGTTTGGGTGGAAATAGAATATTGCCTTGGGAAAAAGTGAGAGATGTTTCCTGTTGAGCAGATTTGAAAAGGGAACAACAGCTTTGAGTGGACTGTGAATACAAAGCTCGAAGAGAAACAGAAAGAACATGGTATGGAAAGTAGCCTAGACCGGAGATTAGGACAGCTCTCTGTGGCTCCTGGGTAAAACAGTACAAATGAAGTGATGCTGGGCTGGGTTGAGACTCAGGACAGGGAGAAGAGGAGGAGGGGGAGACATAATGGTACCATCCCACGAGGAAAGATAACCTGTTTCTGGAGAGAGTCGGGCCGGAGCAGTGATGCCGAGGTGGCCTTTTCTTACTGTGATGTCCCTTAAATTCTGGGGGCAAAGCATAAGATGATTGGCAGAGACCTGTGTGTCTGTTCTTTTGTGTTGGTTCTGAGCTGAATCCAACCCAGAAAATGACGGACAATCTGAAGATGCTCAGTTTTCCTGTGTTAAAGATGATTGTCGTGATTTGCATAATGAGTGTCTTCAGATCTGAAAGTTAGAACAGAACACTTGTGCAAAATCTCTGGTCGTTTTCTCTGCTCACCTTTACAGGGAGATAGGAGATATCTTGGCAACCCACCCAAATGTTTAGTTCTTAAAAATTCTTTTTTGAAACTTCAGATGAGCAGTGCATCTAGATCATTCTTCCCCTCCCCCCTCTTCCAATTCCTTGTGCTCCCCATCCTGAACTCCTAATTTCTTCTTCCGTTATTGTGCCGAGTCTGTTGTCTGTCCATACATGTGCAGATACTGTACACACATGTCTAGGATGACCACTTGAGACTGGGCGACCTATACGGGAGCTTGTCCTCAGAGAAAACAGATTCTTCCTTTCCCAGCAGCCACTGGCCAGCTGTAGCTCTTCATCTGGGATATGACTTTGTGTAATTTGCAGATAGGTGTAGTTCCTGCCCCTCATTAAAGAAATTTCTTTGCAGTAGGTGGAGACTATTTCAGAGAGCGACACTTGTCAAAACCCAGAGAAGAAGTTTCTATGGGGTGCCCAACTCCAAATGATACAACATCTTTAACACAGTCCTCCACCTGAGGCCCAGGAAATATTGCTGAGGAGGGGTCAGAAAGAGCCAGAGGAACAAAATCCCTCCTGCTCGATAGGGTCCTTGAAACATGAGAGAGTAAATTCACCCATCAACTCACAATAATATGTTCAGTTCTTTAAAAGTCCTCACATCCACACATTCATATTCATGTATCTCTCTCTCTCTCTCTCTCTCTCTCTCTCTCTCTCTCTCTCTCTCTCTCTCTCTCTCTCTTTCTCTCTCTCCACACACACACACACACACACACACACACACACACACACACACACACATACACACACCAAAACAGAATAAATAAAACCCCTGAAAGTCTCATGGTAAGTTGACCTTCTATAAGAGAGGAAAATTCTGATTCCAATTTCCCAAATTTTCTCCTAATCCAGTTATTAGGAACTACAAGACCCAGACAGACTCTAATAGGGGAAAAGAGAAGAGAGACTATGAATATTGGAACTATAGATATAATATTTCTTTGCAGAAGTATGCTCCAGACCCTGGACCCTGTTCCCAGCATTGCTAGTAAAGCAAGCAAACACCTCACCGAAATTCACCATAAGGCCAATGAAATGGAGACAGTATGAAATTTATTGGCACATTTCTTGTTTACATGAGAATTTCTTGATAGGAATAAAAAAAAAAAAACCTGGTTAGTGCCTAGTGTGATCTTTGGGGGTTGGAATGTCATGGCTTTTGGCTTAAAGTTTCCTTTTGCAGTGAAGGTGGATATTTTCTTGTAGCAGATACTCAGTCTAATGTGTGGGTTCATCATTTTCCCATGGCTCTCTTCCTCCCCAGATCCGCAGGTGGCAGAAAGCTCAGAGAAAGGAAAGGCCCATACGAAGCCAAAGGCCTCAGGTCCGCAGGTCCAGCTCCAGAAGATCCGGGTACGCATTTGCTCACCAAGAGGGCTATGGAGAGCTCATCACATCTGGAAAAAATATGCGAGCTAAAAGTCCAGCCCCGACATCAGGGCTGGAAAAGACGCTTTATAATAACACGAGCTGGATTGAAAATTTATGTAAGAAAACCACAGACGTGGTGAGCGGCTTTAGTCACGATAAGACAGTGAAGCTGTGAGTCAAGACGGACTTGAACCACAAGATTTTCTTTTCACCTCATCTGGGGCTGAGCTTTGGCTGCTCAGGGGCCAAGAGCAGGGCAGATTGCCTCGCTTAACTTAAATCCATGGCCTCCTGTTTCCAATGCCTGTCACATACTGGTGTGTTCTGCAGGAAACCGGGCCAGATGGGCACCATCCAGTTTGTGATTCTGTGGACCAAGCCCTCCCTCGTGGGACAAGCACAGATTTTTATTAACTTAAACACCAATTGATCTGGACTTTGAATCTTATTTATGAAAAAAAAAAGTTTGTAAAATAGCACCTACACTGGATGGGTCCTGGGTATGTAAAAGGTGCATTCCAACAGTGTGTCTGAACCAGAAAACACATGTCTACAGGTACACTGTGTATGTGAAGAGCTGCCTTTCCCAAATGTAAATGCAGAATTTAAAGTATGCAGTACGGTGCTCTCAGACTGAGAGTCAGTCTCTCTCTCTCTAGTTATGACCTCTACTTGCCAGTCCAGCCTGGACAACAAACCATGACATGCCTGAAGAATACGTTAAAAAGCCTGTGGGATTCCCTGTTTTACAAACTGGTCCAGGGACAAAAGAGAGTGAATATCTTTGCAGAGGGGCTGCTAATGGGGTCAGATGTATTCAGAAAGTGTTCAGTCTGTTCTAGGTAGGGACGGAATACCAGAGTGGCTCCCCCAGGAAGTCTCCTAACGTTTCAGTGACTTGTGGTGGAATGCCATACTTTTTTGATAGTGTTCCATACAGTTCATGGGCAAAGGCAGCTGACAGATCCCATTTTAAAAACTTGAGAATTAAAAGGAAGTGAGTGAATAAGCCATCTCTACTGTTATTTACTCAGGTTTAGGTCATGGAGACTCATTTCCTTTTAGTATCTTGTTGTTGTGTTTATAACTCAAACATCTAAATGTATGGATGTATAAGCTAATTTTTAAAATAGACATTACAGCCCAATTTTGGGATCTCTGGGTGAGCCACTATTTTATAAAGCTCTGTGTTCAAACTGCTGCTCTGCTGCCTCTTACCTCTGTGATGGGCAGGTGATGTGCCTTTCTTGAGACTCAGTTTCCTCCTCTACCTACCTACCTCATGTGGTTGATGACCATCAAGCACAAATTCTCAAACCATTAGAAACACAATTCTCATATGAATGTATGAATTAGGCTCCAGCTAGTTCATCATCAGAACAGCAGAGCAACGGGAAGAGACTGCAGGACCGGGGCTGTCAGTCACGAGTAGGAGGACCTCAAGGAAATGTGGTTGCTAAATATGATAGAAAGCAAGTAAAACCTAGCCCAGGGAGTATATTTATGTGAACGGAAGTAAAATAAAGCATCTGGTCTTACTAGTTTTCCAAAATCAGTCTTTGGCTTTCCAGGCTCCTTCCTGTGGTCCCTACTCAATTGCTGATCAAACAAAACTACTTTCCACAAAGAGCTTGTTAATCCTTATGTGGCCTTGATAGATGATGGCTTAGGATGATATTAATAGGTCAATGTCCCCTGTCCAATTGGTCTTGGTTTCTCAGGGTGATTTTTTTCTGACTGGTACTCAATGAGATAATGTGTACACAGGAGCCTAATACCTAGAGCCTACACCAATAGCAAATGCTGGTAGCTATTTCTTTTCCCTGTACATATCTACCTAGACAAAAGTAAGACTTTTGTGTCTAATGATCAGCCCTAGTGTGCTTGCTTATGTTTTATAACAATTGCAAAAACTTTGGAAACTTTCAGTAAATGTTTTGCCACTCTTAATGCTGGATGTTTTGTTTCATTATCGGGAACTCACCAATGAAACTTTTTGTTAAATTGTTCTAGCTCTCTCTCTCTCTCTCTCTCTCTCTCTCTCTCTCTCTCTCTCTCTCTCTTCTCTTCTCACTCCTCACCCTCTGTCTCTCCTTTATATGCTCGGGGAAAATATACATCCTTTTTAGCAATAGAGTCAAGAGTTAGATGGACCAATTGGATTCATGTATAATACTAGAAATGGTCAATTTTGACACGTTCAGTTCAAATTTTACACTTGATCTCAGCCAAAAGGCTCCGAAGTGATCAGTTCGAATTTAAAAGGCCATTTATAAAGAGATAGTGTAGAGGATTGTGGGAGAAACATTTTACTAGTTTACTTTGGTCCTATGAGAACCAAATAAACTTATGCAGCCCACTGTAAGATACTGAATCGTATAGGATAATTTTGAACCTGAAGATGAAAGTTGGTGGGGTGGTGGTGATATAAATAAAATAAATGCAATTTTACTTTTACATAATGGTATCCAATTATTTGGGGAGTCTCCCTTTTCTAAATGTACTTAGAACTTAAGTTGTGCCAATCTTGACTTTCACAACCTCAGGCCAAATTTGAACTACTATAGGCAAGAGCAAATTGTATTTCCCTGGGGCAGGTGTGCAGTCTTTGCTGCTGAGAAAGGAAAGGGGAGAGAAAAGGCGAAGCAAAAGGAGAGAAGACAGAAAGGAGAAGCCAGAGGTGGGAGGAACGTTCTTAATTATGTCTCCTGAGACGGTATGATTCTGCAAAGCAAAGATGATCGATTGATCTCTTGAAGGAAAAGAACCCATGGGGCTAGAGACTTGAATAACAAAACTTCTTTGCATCCTATGTGTGCTCATGGAAAGATCTTTTGGAACAAAGCCAGGAATTCTGGTTTCTCATATCAGTAATGCCTTGATTTGTGTGGCCAAGGCTTGCGGCTGACTGCCGCGGGACTTTGTATCTTCATCCACCACCTGGGAAGCTGGAAAGATTGGTCTCCAAGGTCCTTTCTCATTTGCCCATTCTGTGAACTGTTCTGCGCTGCTATGTGCAATTGGCTTTGATTGTTGCGAGTGTGAGGAGGAATGGAGAAAAGGGGCAGGCTCGGGGAATCAGACTGGATGCTCTCTTGAGGGGAGGGCCTATCTGTTGTACTGTTTATGCTCATCTAGAACAGTCCCTGTCTTGGGGCTTCTGACAGAGGCGCTTCTCCCAGGTTTTGCTGGAGACAGACCTCTCTTACATTCTTTTCCTTGCTACCATTTTAATATCAAACAGGTGCAGACCAGAAGGTCAGATCTTCCTGCCAAGTGAGAGGAAGGCCATTTAAAGGTATCTCTGCTTTGTCTGGAGTCAGATTGAAAAGCAGCGTCTGAGTGACATTCTTCATGGTCATGGAGCATTGGGCAGTGTGTGCATGACTTCAGACTGTACTTTCTGGGCCTTACAGCCTATAGTGTTCAGCACATCCAAACTCAGCCTGTTTTTAGCAGACTGAAGCATGGTGAGATGAAGTGCTGACTTCTTTGCTATTTACAGAAAGGCCCACTCCCCAGTCAATCACAAGATCACACACACAAGAAAAACAAACATGTCTCAGAGAATTATTTTAAAAATCATTAGAAAAGATACAGCAAAAAGCCTTACTTACCATTTTATCACAGTAAGTTGCCTCATTCTGTGCGTACCTGATCAAAATCCCTAAGACTGGTTCAACTGGTAATACTGTTAATGAAGTAATTGTGTATCAATGCATACGGATTCAGGGAGGATCCAGAAGTGGTGACTTGCAGATTTTAATGGGATTTTGCAGGACCTGGGTAAGACAACCACGAGGAACTGTGATTTCCAGTTTTGTTCTAACATCTGGTGTTAAAGGTCTGTAGTTCACTCTACTGCGTCATATCCTGATTCCTCACCAGGAAATCACAGACTTTTGCAATTCTCTAAGCTAAGCCTTCTGCAGCACTGTCGGGAAGCCAGAGGTTCACTGCCCTTGTATTTCAAAGTGCTCCTTGTGACAGACTTGGAGGCTTGCTGGGAGAATCTCTGGGTTTACAGTTACAACTTAACCAAGAAAGGGACCTATCTGCCCTGAAATTTCAAAACTCCCTGAAAGATCTATCCTAAAACTGATGCAGAATGTAAACCAGGTTTGGAATGCATGCATAAATGTCCAGAGTGAAAAAAAAAACATTAACAAAAAATGATGAGTTGGCTAGAAGGCTCTGGATATCTCAATTTGATCTCTGTAAAGCTCAAAGACCAGTTCAAATTTGTAATGAATTACAGCTCTGGAAACATATATCAGAATCGATTGAAGCAACATGTAGGGTGAAAAGGGCCGAGGAAAAACACCCTGCCCTTATTTAGGAACAGGGATTGAAATCCCACCAATCACTGAAGTCCCTGAGCACAAGACCCCACCAGTCCCACGACACCCTGGAAAGCTCTGTCCACCCCACCCCACCCCCTGCCACGGAACTCTATATAAGCTCTGTACCCTGTTCGGTTTGCCTCTGCCTCACCCTAGAGGTGGCTGCCTCCCTGGATTCTTTCCTCCCAATAAATCTCTTGAATGAGGTTTGGGCGACAACCTTCTTTCCCAGGAGTGGAGCAGAGTGGAGCAGAACTGTAACCTTTTCGCGGGGGAAACCTTCTGCTAGCTGAGCAGAGCGGTTACACTCTGGAGGACCTGAGCAGAGCTGTAACACTTTTGCTGGGGAAACCCTCCCTTGCTGGGGCAGAGTTGTTATTTTGGGGAAACCTTTCCCTGGGGCAGGGCTGTGAGCTGCTTTGCTTACAGTGACTTTGTGATATTCCTTGGCTTCATTCTGGCTCCTGTTCTGCTCATCTCTGTGTGGGTAGGCAGCGTTACAGAGATATTTAAACACAAGACATAACAGAAAACACGGACAGAATTTAAATTTACACAATGAGAACTAATAAAAGATGAAAGGCATCAAGATCAAAATGAAAGTCAAACTCCATGGGAATAGTTAAACGTACAGAAATGTGCAAAAACCAAAATTCTATGACATTTTCATCATTACTGATTAGTAGAGGAAATACTGTTATGGAGATACAACTAGTGATGACTACTCAGATACAGTTTAGAGACAATGAACATCTCTATTCCAGCCAGCTGGTACTACACTCAGGTTTTCAGGTCCTAAGTGTAGCCCTGAGTGTCCAGAGTGTTTTTGACGGCAAAAACCACATCCTGGAATCTTGCTTGGCAGCTACAGGGGAGCTTCACACAAGCAAGCAGTTTAACAGAAGCTAGGGTAGGGGGTTAGCTGGAGGGGGTTCTGCACAAGTGAGCAGTTTAACAGAAGCTAAGGTAGGAGGTTAGCTGGAGGGGGTTCTGACAAGTGAGCAGTTCTACAGAGGCTAAGATGAATCATCTGGGGCATCCTGACCTTGGGTTCCTAGGACAGAGCTGGGTAATTTTCCACGGGACTCCCCATCAAGGAGATCAGCTTCTAGTTGAACCTCAAATGGCCTCAGACAGAATACAAATGGAGGAACCTCTGCACTGTCTTGCCCTGTCACAATACAATAGGAAGTACATTTGAGCAGCAATTCTTAACAGAACATAACTGGGGGTTTAAAATATCTCACACACAATCATATGCTAATATCATCAACCACAGCCTTTTAGATTACGAATGCAGGATAGAAAACATTAAATGAGATTAATTACAGAGTAATTCTCTGTTATTGAAAGTAATCTTTTCCCTCACATAGGTCGCTGCCTGATTTCCTGAAGTCTGCCCTCCCTCACTCCCACATAGATCCACATACATCAAAGATTAGAAGCTCAGATCCCCATATGAGAGAGAACATATGCTGTTTGACTTTCTGAGCCTGGGTGACATCATTTAATAGAATACTTTCCAGCTCCATCCATTTTCTAGCAAACTACATAATTTTATTTTTCTTTATGGCAAAATAAAATTCCATTGTGCATAGGTACCACATTCCATAGGTACCACATTTCATTCTCCACTAATCTGTAGATGGATGCCTTGCTGTTGTGCACAGAGCAGCAATAGACATGAACGAGCAAGTATCTCTTTTTGCTCTGATGAATTGAGGTCTTTTGTACTCCCAAGTGAATTTTAAAACCATTTATTCTGTGCCTATCAAGTTGAAGTTCATATTTTGATGGAGACTGCTTTAAATCTGTAGGTTGCTTTTGGTAAGATGGACATATCCACAGTATTAATTCTTCCAGTACAAGAGAATGTGAGGTCTTTCCATCTTCTAGTGACTTCTTTAATTTCTTTCTCCAAATTTTTAAAATTTTCATTGTAGAAATCTTTCAGTTTGGGAGATGGGTCTAATTCTAGGGTGAATTTCTTTAAGGCTGTTGTGAATGGGATTGTTTCTTGGATTTCTTTCTCAGTATATTTGTCATTGGTTTATAAGAAAACTGATTTTGTGTCCTACCACTTTACTGAGAGCATTTATAAAGTCTGGGGTTTTTTTTTTTAGTGGATTCTTTAGGATATAATAAATTATTATCTCACTTTGGTTTAACTTTTGTGGTTCATATTTATCTAGAAATTAATTTATCCTTTTTATATTTTCCAATTGATTAGAACATAGCTTTTAAAGATATGACCTGGTGGTTTTCTGAGCTTCATTGTTATCGGTTGTATTGTAATGGGTTTCCATTTCCATTTCTTTCTCTAATTTTATTAATTTGGATTTAATTTTATTAATTTCTCTCTGTTTTTGGTTAAGTTGGCAGAGGACTTACCAAGTTTGTTTACATATTTTCCAAAGAACCAACTTTAGTTTCATTGATTTTAATTTTTTATTTAATTTCTGCTCTGATTATCATTATTTTTTCCAGTCTACTGCTTTGGGGCTTGTTTGTTGCCATCTCCCTGTCTTAGGTTTTCTACTACCGTGATGAAAGTATTGTGACCAAGAGAACCTGTGTGGGGAGGGATTTATTCAGCTCTCAGGCCATACTCCATCACCCAGGGAAGTCAGGACAGGAACTCAAGACAGCAACCTGGAGGCAGGAACTGATGCAGACTGTGGAGGAGTGTTGCCTACTGACTTGCTCACAGGTCAGTCTGGTGGAAGCATTTTCTTAATTGAGGTTCCCTTTTCCAAATAACTAGCCTATGTCAAACTGACACACCAACTAGTTAATGCATTTTTGCAATGTCTTAAGGTGTATAATTTGGCTGTTTGTTTGAGATCTCTCTAATTATTAAATGTCTCTACTTAGAGCTATTAAACTTTTGCCTTAAGACTGCCTTCATTTTATCTTGTTGATTTTCATGTATTCATTTGTTTAACATATTTTTGTTTTTCTCTTTGATCTCTTCAATGGACCATTAATTATTCAACAGTGTGTAGTTTAATCTCTATGACTTTGCATATTTTCCATAGTTTCTCTTGCTGTTGATTTCTAGTTTTTTCACATTATAGTCAGATAAAATACGAGGAGTTGTTTAAATTTTCCTGTATTTGCTGAGACATGTGCTCTGTGTTTCAATATGTGTTCTGCCTCAAGTTCTACTGGCTCCTGAGAAATATGTAGTTTTAGTGTTTGAGTGGAGTGTTCTATAAATGTCTGTTTGATATATGATGTTACAAGTTCTAGTGTTTCTCTATGTTTTTTTCGTCTGGATGATCTGTCTAATGCTGAGAGTAGGATATTGAAGTTGCACATCAGTACTGTGCTGAAGCTACTCTGTAACTTTTTGTTTACTAATATTTTAATTTTGTGTGTGTGTGTGTGTGTGTGTGTGTGTATGTGTGTGTGTGTGTGCCCGCGTGCGCCTGAGTGCATGTATAAACACTGCATGGTGTGCAGAAACCTGAGGTAGTCAGAAGAGGCATTGGATCTCCTGGAACTGGAGTAAAGGTGGTTGTGAGCTGCCATGTGGGTTCCAATGAACAAATATATAGGCCTTCTTGTTCACTGAATCATCTCTCCAGTCATGGGTCTGCCTGTGTTTAGTGCATATATGTTTAGAATTATTTTTTTTATGTTTAGAATTATAATGTCCACTTCTGAGATGATTGAGACAGGGTTATGACATGGATGGCTTGTCCTCTTTCATACCAACCCATAGTCTTCTGACCACCTACATCCCCTTCCTCTTTTGAGCTGGCCTCAGTTACCATCTGTGACTCCACTTTAACATGGTTTCAGGTGATGCTCCTGCCCTGTGATAGGGGATTGTGTACTTTCTACTTGATGCAAGTATCACCTTAGGATAAATGGACACCTGCACTCATCCTCTGCTCGGTTCTCCCAGTGATGCTGTGCTGCTAAAACTCAGGGTAGCAGGCAGTGAGGCTGGATAGCCCCAGTGCTGAGGGACTTCCCCCAACCCTTGGCCTGCAGTGCATCCTGATAGCAGAACGCACTCCCTGCTTCTGCCTATAAGAAAAGACACTAAGTCTTGCTTTTATTGGCTTCCTGTAATCTTTAAGGCAGTCTGTGTTAAGTTGGACTAGTTCCCAACCTCAAAAATGTTCTAATCTTTCTTAGAAATCCCAGCACGATCTGGGAGGGAATTCCTTAAGGCTAACAAACTATGGAAATAGAGAAACCAAGGAAAAGATGGTGGTTGAAGAATAGTTTCCACCCCCCCCCAAAAAAAAAACCCCTGAAATTCAAATAGGAAGGGAGTATAGTGTACAATCCCCAGTGTTCTTGGCATGGGAGAGTTCATGAACAAGTGCCATCAACAAAAAACACCTTTTGGCATGTTTGGGCAAGAGGAAGGGCTTGAGAATCCTGGGAACTTTTTGGTTTTGTTTGATCATGAGAAGTTTTTAAAACAGGGCATCATTGTGAGAGAGTCATGAAGAAAACTGAATTGTAGGAAAGAAATGGAAGGAAATCCACACTGTACTCTGGTGAAAGGAGGAGAGAAGGCAGGTTGTGGCTGTCACTTGGAAGGTCCTTAACTCACCTGAAAGACTGCATAGCAAAGATACCTTTTCCAAGCCTGTTTACCCATCTGGGAAAGCAGAGACTGATGGACAGTTCTTGATAGAGTAAGTATTGTTACATTCAATCCAAACAGCCCAGCCAGGTTAGTACTTGTTTTTCCCCCATTTTCAAGTGAGACAAACTCTTAGCAGGTTAAATAATCTTCTCAGAGACACATGATGGAGGTGCTGGGCTTCAAGTCTTGGCATGTGATTCTCTTGTGTCATGTACTCTCAAACTAATACCATTTCTCATAGACCTTTAGTGCATGGATTTAGTCGTTTTAGTTCCCAGTGGATTAGTTTGGGGACACAATATGTCTTTTGAAGGGCTCCTTTTTAAGCTGATTTCCTGAAAATAAAACATTCTACAGCTTTCTTTAGCTTTTTCACTTCCTCCCACCCCAATTTTTCAATGTTTCAGGTCTTTCTTGTTAGACTTTCTTTAGGGACCACCAGCTCCCCAATAATGACATGGAGAGCTAATGTTAACTATGAAAGCTTGGCCTTAGCTTAGAGCTTGTTCCACCAGCTCTTATAACTTAAATTAATCCATTTCTATTCATCTACATTCTGTCCTGTGGCTCTTTACCGCTCCTTCATTCTGTATATCCGACTCCCTCCATGTCTCGCTGGCTAATCTTACTCTCTTCATCCTAAAGTTCCTATCTCTGCCTGGAAGTCCCACCTATTTTCTCCTGTCTAGCTATTGACCATTCAGCTATTTATTAAACCAATCAAGTGCCTTAGGCAGGCAATGTAAAACAGGGACACATCTTTACATAGTGCTATCAAATATCCCACAACATTTCAACCAATGATCCAGCATAAGGAAGAAAATAATTATTTTCTTCAAACATTATCATATTTGCTTTCATTTCTGCAGCAGAAATACAGCTCTTGCCTTAGGACATTAGCAATTTGTCATTGTCCACGAAGCCCTTTGCTTTGGGGTTCCTTCAGACACAGAAAGGAAGCCTGGCAAATTAGCTGAACTCTGTAGGTTGCCTTTTCCTATATCACTTTGCAGATTCTTTAGCTTTCACACTATTGTAGTTTGCTGTGGATATTGCTCTATATATAAATAAAACACTGATGGCCAGTGACCAGGCAGGAAGTAGGTTGCCAGGCAGGAAGTAGGTGGGACAAGGAAAGAGGAGAATTCGGGGAAGCGGAAGGCTGAGGAGGGAGAGACTGCAGCCACTGCCAGGAGAAGCAGCATGTAAAGACTCTGGTAAGCCACCAGCCATGTGGCAAGGTATAGATTTATAAAAATGGGTTAATTTAAGATAAAAAAAACAGTTAGCAAGAAGCCTGCCATGGCCATACAGTTTATAAGTGATATAAGCATCTGAGTGATTATTTTATAAGTGGTTTGTGGGACTGCGGAGCTTGGGGAACCTGGAGAGAAGCCCTCCAGCAACAGTAGTTATGTAACATTAACCCTAATCCATTCTTTGCAATGCCCCAGTTCACGGTCAACCATCAGAAGTATGCATAGAATTTCTAGAAACAATTGGTAAACTTTTAATTTGCACATAGTCCTGAATAGGATAATGAAGACTAAGCTGGTGTTGATCTTTCTTGCCAAATTATCCACCATCCCTTCTCTTGGTGTATATGTGCTGTATGTGTGCTACTTGGCTTGTGGCAGTTGAGAGACTAACCATGTTTGCATAACTTCACTCCAGCTTATTATTATAACTGTCTTAGGGTTTCTATTGCTATGAACAGACACCATGATCGTGGCAACTCTCATAAAGGAAAACATTTAATTGGGGCTGACTCACAGTTTCAGAGGTTTAGTTTATTACTGTCATGGTGGGACATGAGATGCAGGGAGACATGGTACTGGAGAAGCAGCTGAGAGTTCTACATCTTGATCCACAGGCAACAGCAAGTGATCTACCACATTGAGTATAACTTGAGCAAAGAAGACCTCAAAGCCCATCCCCACAGTGACACACTTCCTCCTACAAGGCCACAGCTACTTCAGCAAAGCCACATCTTTTAATAGTCGCACTCCCTTTGAGGGGCATTTTTTTTCTAATCCCTACATTACACTCCCTGGCTGTCAAAGGCTTGTAGCCATATCATAGTGCAAAAAGACATTCAGTCCAACTTCAAAAGTCTCCATAGTCTATAACAGTCTCAAACTTATTTAAAAGTCTAAAGCTCAAAGTCTTTTCTGAGATTCATGCAATCTGTTAACTGTAATCTCCTGGAAAATCAAAATTCAAAAGCAGATAACATAGCTCCAACATGTAATGGCACAGGAAATATATTACTGTTCCAAAACACAGGGAAGGGAGCATAATGAGGAAATACTGGACTAAAGTAAGACTGAAAACCTGCTGGGCAAACTCCAAACCCTGTTTCTCTATGTCTGATGCCAAAGCACTCTTCAACTCTCTAACTCTGTTAAGCTTTGTTGACTGCAACACACTTCTTTCTCTCGGGTTGGCTGCACTCCTTGTTAGCAGCTTTTCTTGACAGGTATCCCATGACTCTGACATCTCTAATATCTTGGGGTCTCCAAGTCAATCAAGGCTTCGCTTTCTTTTTGAGACAGGGTTTCTCAGTGTAGCTTTGTGCCTTTCCTGGAACTCTGTAGCCTAGGCCGGCCTCGAACTCACAGAGATCCTCCTGCCTCTGCCTCTGCCTCCCAAGTGCTAGGATTAAAGGCATGCACTACCACCACCTGGCTAGGCTTCACTTTCATAGCTTCATGCAATGGCCTCTCTAGGCCTCTGACACATGTCTGGCTTCAGCTGCTTTCTTTAGTCATGGAGGTAGATTCCATAACCCCTTTCTTCTAACCTTGACTCTAAAACCAGAACTATGTGGCTAAAACTGCCAAGTTCTACAGCTTGGGGGCTGGAACATCGTCCTTCTCATTCAATTACAACTTCACCAGCTTTCTGTTTTCGATGGTTTCCTTTACTGCTTAAGCTTGACTGTCCTAAACCTAGATCTGTAGACTAGGCTGGCCTCAAACTCAGAGATTTACCTGCATCTGCCTCAGAAGTGCTGAGATTAAAGGTGTGTGCCACCTCACTTGATTCTAAGCTTTTCTTTACATCCTTTTCACAAGTTGGAAACTTAGCTGGGTGGGATCTTGCTCTGAGGTCACCACTCCCTTTATTCCATCTCTCAATCTGTTTATTGTTTTAAACACAGGACTTAGCTCTATTCCACTTCCTGGTGCCCCTTTTCTCATCAAATTGTACAGTTTATATTTTTCCTTGCTCAGCTTGCTCCTTTTCACTTTAATATTCATTAGACTTAACACTAATAATCACATAACAGAATCTATACTAGGCTGTTTTAAGATTTCCTCTACCAACAGAATTAGTACAAAACTCTTCATTTTAGCCTCAAACTCTTTGGACAATGGCAAAAAGTAGCCACATTCTTCACCAAAATGCCACAAGAATGATCTCTTTAGGCAACATACTAAAATTCTTATCCTCTGAAACCTCTTGAGTCAGGCCCTCAAACTTCAAATCTTCCATGCTCCTACTAGTATGGCCCATTACGTAGTACTTAAAGCATTCCATTGCTTTCCTAACCCAAAGTACCAAAGCACAAATTCCTCCAAACAAAAACATGGTCAGGCCTATCACAACAATACCTCAGTCCCTGGTACCAACTTCTGTCTTAGGATTCCTATTTCTTGTGAAGAGTTACCATGACAACAGCAACTTTTATAAAGGAAAACATTTAATCAGGGTGGCTTACAGTTTCAGAGGTTTAGTCCATTATCACCATGGTATGCAGGAAGATATGGTTCTGGAGAAGGAGCTGAGAGTTCTACATCTTGATCCACAGGCAAGAGAAAGTGAACTATCTATCATACTGAGTGTAGCTTCAGCAAAGAAGACCTCAAGTCCACTTTCACAGTTACACACTTCCTCTTACAGGGCCACACCTACTCCAACAAAGCCACACCTCCTAATAGTGCCATTCCCTTTGGGGGCCATTTTCTTTCAAACCACTACAATAACCATCCTATTTTATTATTTATTGTTGTTAATATCTTACTGTACCTATTTTATAAATTGAACTTCATCATAGATATGTGTGCTGGATAGTTTTATGTTAACTTGACACAAGCTAATGTCATTTGAGAGATGAGAATCTTAATTAAGAAAATGTCTCCATAAGATCAGGCTGTAGACAAGCCTGTAATGCACTTTATTAAGGGCCCAGCCCATTGTGGATGGGGCTATCCCTGAACTGGTGGTCCTGTGTTCTATAAGAAATCAGACTGAGCAAGCCATGACAAGCAACCCAGTAAGCAGCACTCCTCCATGACCTATTTCTGCCCTATTTGAGTTTCTGTCCTGATTTTCTTCAATGATGAACAGTGATATGGATGTGTAAGCCAAATAAACTCTTTCATCACCAACTTGCTTTTTGGTCATAGTGTTTCATTGCAGCAACAGAAACCCTAAGTAAGACAATATGTTTGTACCAGAAAACAACAATAGTCTTGGCATTACATATAATTTCATGTATTTACTGGGCGTTAGAACATATGCCTCAAAGACAAGGGAGGGCTACTTTATATTTCTTTTGGCCATGAAAGCAATATTAAACCAGACCAGCCAGAGCAGGAAAACTATAAATTTTAGACTTTGGTAGTCGAGCTTTGAAAGGTCAGTGGCTGTTGGCTTTCAGTTTTTTGTGCAAATCATTAGTAGACAAATGTCTTATTTCTGTTCTCTCTCAAGATGCTAGACTTTGTTTAAAATTTGACTGTAGGAGGTTTGAATGGATGCATAGTTTTCCAGAAAGCTGATTTCAATACTGATGATCCTTTTATCACAGGGAAGATTCCCAAAACTAGTATGCCCATTATGCCAAGAAGTCAGCCTCAGTAACCTGGGTGTTTCAAATTATTTACTACACATTTCTCCACATTTTTTCATCCCGTTCATTCTGACCAACATTTCAACCTGTCATTGCTCTTTTTTCCCTGACTCATTTCTCTACATCAATCAAATCAGAAATATGGGCACATTTAGCAAGTCACAAAGGTATTCTATGGCTCCCTTGGGATTATTTAAATAAGGACAGTGTCTTCAAGCAAGAACTCCTGTGCTCTTGTAACCAGATATGTTACAAGGTGCATTTACCAAGCTTTGTCTCTGTTCCTGCACTCTCTTGAGTATATACCTCTGTAATCACACCTGTTACATGCATACTAATTACATGTTTGCAAGCCTATGTCCTCCTCTAGAGAGGGAAGTCCTATAGGAAAAGGCTAATATCTCATTTGTCTTTGGATTTTCAGCATATTGCATAGTTTCTGGCATAAGATTTATTGTCAAAATACTTGTTAAATGAAGGAATGATTATGATTCAGGCTTATTGTTGAAATAAAAGGCATTGACGTGGTCTTTCTGGCAATGCTAGACTTGGAAAACCCATATGCAAATTTACTGAGGATGTTGAAATACTTTGTGCTGACCACATCCTGAGGATAAATTCTATAGTTTTGTTGACCTAATCATTCTGGTTATATAACTGTCATAAGGGAAAACCCCATAGCAGTAACTGAACCCTTCAAAATATCTCACTGACTAAACTACACGCATAGAAGGTCTATTTTACCACATGAGTGGAAGGTCTATTTTAAATGTGTTTCAGCCTTTGGGGATTTAAGTATTTCTTCCTTTCCAAATAATGAAGTATTTTCCTTGACATGACTTTTGTATTTATGTTTTTCTGAGCCTTGGTTGACTTCATTGTTTATATTTTAGCACTGTTATTCTATGTACTCATGCTGCTGTGAGTCTCTTCGAACACTTTGGAAAGGAAGCTGGGGTATGGCTAAGTAAGAGACACTGCTTTGTCACAAAGATTGGAGACTCTGGGGGGAAGTAGGTAGAACTTACCTCCTTTCCCACTGGTGTTTGTCCGTCCATCTGGGGTCATAGACAGATCGCCCAATTCATTATTGCTTTTCCTTTTGCTAATTCATATAAACAGTTGGGAATCATTCCTTTAAAGACTAGTTCCAGGACAGCCAGAGCTATTACACAGAGACCCCTGTCTTGGAAAAAATCATACAGAAAAAAAGCTCCAAACAGTAACTTAATCATGGCACTAGAAAGAACCCACAGGCAGGCCTACTCAGCTGTTCTTTCTAATTCCCAAAGAATTGCTGGGTTCTGTGTTATAGGACTGTAGGACTGGGGTGGGTCATTACAAAGTAGCAGATTGTTGAAAAATTCAATGAATGAAGCAGCAAGATGCATCTCTGAGTGGGATGAACAGGAGCAGTATCAAGGTTTAGGGGTCAGGAAGAAATAGAGCATGGTGCATGGCTTTTTTGAACAGTGGAAATGGCCATGCAGTTTGGCTCAGACAGACTGCTTGGCTCCATTAATAGGGTATTGGATCTTGAACTTATTTTTTTTCTGGACATTATTCCCTGACTTGTCAACTAGAGTGAATAGTGGGGCTAGTAATGTTAATAGTAATAGCAATTAATAGTAATAGTGAGATTCATTCTAGGAATGCACAGATAGGTCAATATATATAAATCATTAAATAAAATTTATCACATAAACTGACTCAAGGACAGAAGCCACATGATCATCTCAATAGATGCAGAAAAGGCCTTTGGCAAGACCCAATATCCCTTCATGATAAAAGTTCTGGAGAGGTAAAGAATGGAGAAAACATATTTCAATACAACAAGAGCTATACATGACAGACATATAGCCAACATTAGAATAGATGGAAAAACACTTGAAGTATCCTCATTGAGATTGGAACAAAATGACAGTGTCCAGTTATCCCACTATTACTCAATGTAGTGTTTGAAGACTTAGCCAGAGCATTAAGACAAGAGAAGAAAACACAAGGGATGTAGACAGGAAAGGAGAAGTTAAGGAACTCCTGTTACAGGTGACATGGTTCTCTCTCTACATTAAAGACTTTATTTAAAAAAACTCCTGGAAGGCTAGGCATGGTGATCCACACCTTTAGTCCCAGAACCCAGGAAGCAAAGGCAGGTGGAGTTCTAGGAGTTTGAGGCTACTCTGGTCTACACTGTGAGGCCTAGGCCAACCAGGGCTACATAGTAAGATCCTATTTCAACAACAAAAAACAACAACAAAAAGTAGCAGGATACAAAATTAACATACAAAAATCAGTAGCCTTCCTACACGTCAATGGCAGACATACCCAGAAAGAAACCAGAGAAACAATCCCATTTACAATAGCCTCAAAGACAATAACAGCAGCAGCACAAACACCTTAACCTCCAAGGCTTAGAGTAACCTAACCAGAGAAGTGAAAGACCTCTGCAGTGAACATTTTAAAACACTGAAGAAGAAATTGAAGGTGATAATATAAGATGGAAGGACCTCCAATTCTCATGCGTTGGAAGAATCAATACTCTAAAAGTGGCCATTCTACCAAATCCACAGGTTCAATGCAATAAAAATCCCAATGCCATTATATTTACAGAAACAGAAAAAAACAAACCAAAACAAACCAAAAAACCTATTGTTCCACATTCAATACAGTGGCTGTACCATAAGCAATTGCTGTCCCAACAGACAATTGCAACTCCATAGCTACCAGCAGCAGTTCGGCCATACAGGCCATAGCCACGCAGGAATTCCATTCCCTCAGGCACTGGCTCTATCACGTTGCTAAAGGAAACTTAATCTAAATCTCTATCCTTCTATAGAACCCAGGATTCAAAGGTTGAGATGAAATTCTTCTCACTCGGAGAGGCTTAATAGCAAGTGGTTAACCTTCTCTCTTTGCTCCTGTCTCCCAAAAATAAAAGGGGCATCCTTCTCCTCAGCCCCCACTTAAGAACCCTGGATACACTTAGTTCCTTCATACTGCTTCCTGTCAACTAGTTGCTGACTCAGCTTCTTGACTCCAGGGTAATTTTACTTAATTAAACAAATGTAACATGTCTTTGTATTGTTAACAAAAGCATCAGAAACAAAAGTAACGCACTGTTAAAATAATATTCCACAATATTTCCCCTGTTTGTCTAAATAAAAAGAAAGGGCTTTAACTTAAACATACATAGTAAGACTATACACAATAAGAACAGTTATCAAGTAAGGATTATATTCACAATGTCCAGTCCATTTGTGTCTGGAAAATTTAAAGGAAATACTCCATTATCTATCCTATCTTAGTGAGTACAAAGTTTTATACCTAGTTTACTTTCTATCATAACTAAGGAAAACTGCAACTATAACTATCTAGTCTTCAACTCCATCAAAGATCACAGAAGGATATAATATTACCTAACATCTGGCTGCCCGGACAATCACTCAAAGTTCTTATGCAATGTTGGTGCATCCATCTTTGGCATACAGGCCTAGAATATCTGGCAGACTTTTAGGTAAAGCAGGAAATTTGAAGGACTGTCCTGTCTTGTCTCAGCAAAGTTAGCAGTCCTTTGCCTGTGTCCTTGCGACACTGAAAGCAAACTCCATTTGGAGTTTCTTCAATGCCCATCATCCCTTTATGAAGCAAATTGGTACTGCCAGGAGCAGGTGTGCCTCATTGTCATAAAAAACCTTAGGTTATTAAACATCTTAAATGAAATATTCTGTAAGTCTTTGAAGAATTTGAAAATCATCTATCTGCTTAAAGTATACCTGTTTAACCTTGGAAACATACCTAATGTGACTACAAGTTTGATTACTATAGATTAACCACTAACCTCATTTATTAATTATACTTTGCATTTTTAAATGAGCTGCATAAGCACAGTACCCCAAACAAGACTTGAAACACATATATAGTATAACAAAAAATAACTTTAAATTTGTATCACTGTACCAAAATCCATGCCAATGCAAAGTATCTGAGATTAATACTTGTCTTTTTATCCTATACTCCTATATTCCCCTAAGTGGCAACAAATATCCATAACCCACCACATATTCAACAACCACCCATACCCCAACTCTTGGGAATGTGGGCATTGTTTTCTCTGCACTGCTTCCTGTTGTCTGTAGGTAAAGGTATCTTTAGGGTTCCCTGAGAAAACTAAGATAATGGCCAAGTCCTGGGAAGACCAGCTATAACCTTTGTTGATATAGATCAGCTTTCAAGACTCATGAGGTCTTCCCCTATCAAATCTGATCCATATCAACCTAGAACTAATGCACAGTCTCTCAATTCTTATGAAAACAAAAGCAAAACCTTTCCCCCAAAGTAACATTTTTTTTTTTTTACTTCTCTCTTAAAGTTGAGATAGCCCTAGGGTTTCTAGGTTGGTTCATTTTAGCAGTCCAGTTTACAGTCCCATGTCTGTCAGCAGCTGTTGTTTGCTCATCAGCATTCAAAAAGAAAAATTCAAAATCAACACAATACTATATAAGATCCAGACTCCCTGTGTATTTTCTATCAGTATGTGGCTTTTTTCTTTTATATTCTTTTACTGCCTCTTTAAAGACTTTATTATTTTTAAACTATTTCTTTCTGTCTACAACTGTCTATACCCTTTTTCTTTTCTTAAGCTTACACACATTGTTAAACACACAGGAACCTGCTTAGAGGTTTTTCCTGTTTGGATCTGTCCTTACTGTGTATCTCTAGTCTTTTTTGTCTGCATGAGCCTTTAAACTGCTAAGCAGCACCACTAGAACCTCCGCTGCAGGTTTAGCGGCTGTCTCCACCCACTTTTCATATAGTGAAAGTCAAGCTGAAGCCCACTGGCCCAGTATGGAGGTTTGTTTAACCTGGAACCACATTCAATCCCTAGCTCTGGATTACCAGTCCCCTGTACTGTGGCAGGCATGATTTTTGTTCTTGTTGTTTTTGTTTTTTTAACATAGTTTTTTTTCTATTTAGCAAAAGAAAGGCTGTTTAAGTGCTCTGCTGTATAGCAGAGTTTCTTTTTTTTTCTTTATTAAGAAATTTTCTACTCACTCCACATACTATCTACATATTCCCCCCTCCTCCCCACCAGTCCTCTTTCCCAAGCCACCCCACATCTCCACATCCCCCAAATCGAGGTCTCCCATGGGGAGTCAGCAGAGTCCAGCACACTGAGCCTAGGCAGGTCCAAGCTCCTTCCCACTGCACCAAGGCTGTGCAAGGTGTCACACCACAGGCACTGGATTCCAGAAGCCTGCCCATAGACCAGGGACAGATCCCCATCCCCCTGCCTGGGTGCCCCCCAAACAGTTCAAGCCAAACAACTGTCTTCTATATTCAGAGGGCTTAGTCCAGTCCCATGGGGGCTCCACAGCCACCAGTCCACAGTTCATGGGCTTCCACTAGTGCGGCTGAGTTTCTTAAAGGAGCTGTATCTTTTCCCCCCAGCTTTCTCAGGCCCTACCTAGATGGATATTCAAGCCTCACATTGGTATGCCAAAGTGTAATTTTCTTTTTACTACTCTTTTACTCTTTGGGGGCCTGACATCTAGCTCCCAAATAAATACACAGAGACTTATTCTTACTTGTGAATGCCTGGCCTTAGCTTGGCTTGTTTCTAGCCAGCTTTTTTTTTTTTAACTTAAATTATCCCATCTACCTTTTACCTTTCTCTATTCTACATGTCTTTCTTTACTTCTTACTCCATTGCTGGCTATGTGACTGTGTGGCTAGCACGTGATGTCCTCTTCTTCTTCTCTTTTTTTCACTCCTCCCTCTATCCTTCTCCTTCTATTTATTCTCTCTGCCTGGCAGCCCCACCTATCCCTTTCCTGCCTAGCTATTGGCCATTCAGCTCTTTATTAGACCAATCAGGTGTTTTAGGCAAGCAAAGTAACACAGCTTCACAGAGTTAAATAAATGCAACATAAAAGAATGCAACACATCTTTGCACCATTAAATAAATATTCACAGCATAAACAAATGTAAGACACCTTTACACAGTTAAAATAATATTCCACAACAAACAACCTTGAAATCTATATAGAAGTATACACAAAAAAAAGGTAGCTGAATCAGTTCCAAGTAAGCAGAAAACCATAGGAGTGAACATCATTACTGATTTCAAGGTTTATTACAGAGTCATACTAGTAAAAAGCATTATGTCATTGGCACAAAGACAGATGG